TGTCCTTTGTTAAAATAATGTTGACTAAATAAAGGAACATACAAGGAGTATAAGATGAAAATTCCATTTTATTTTCTAACAATGGCATTTCTAAATGTGTTTTAAAGCGCTTTGCGATTACAATTGCCACTGGAAATAAAGTAAACTCTGTTCTATGAAATATATGGATTTAAAAAAAAGCGAACTATCTTATTTGTAATAAATGCATCATAAATGCATAAGTACCGGATTAATGGATTCTATGGCAATGTATAACAAGTTCCTTTGCATGTTAATCGAATTGTCGAAATAATTGTAAAATATATATTTATTTTGATTAAGCTTGATCGTATGTATATACATATACATATACCATATATACATACACACATATATATATATATATATATATGCTGTCACGACTTTTTACCCGTTCGGGCGCAAAGCCGGATCAAAAGGGAGTTGCGGGAGAGTAGGATGTCAGGCCTCTCCGACGGATCTCTCGCACGAACCGAATTTCTAACGCGAACGTGAGTGTTGGGCGCCAGACGCGGTATCCCGCGTCCACTAACGCGAAATTTATCACAAATTATCAAAACGTTTATCGTAATTAAACGGCGTGCGAGAAATCGACCAGCTCGGCGTATTACTCAGGGACGAAGGTGGTATAGGGCAGCGCGAATTGTGACGGGCGACACAGAAATTACGAACTCAAACAATTAATAACAAAAGAGATTAACATTTATTGCAAAGAAAAAAAAGAAACAATTAGCTCGCGAGATTGCTCTAATAAATTAAAGAACCGTTGATTCATCTCTCACAAAAGCGAAATCATATAGACGTGAATAATCGTGAGCGTGGAAGAATAAATCAAAAATCGCTACAACCAGGAAAATAATAACTCCGAAAACAAGTCAAAATTTTACGCGATCTCAGACGCCAAGTTTACTCCAGAAAGTACGCAGGATCGCGATTGTTCAGAATTCTGTCGCCAGGATAGCGTATCCCCGAAATACGAGGCGCAATATAACACAACGACGGGCCAATAATCAAGCCCGAACGCGACAGGTAACGCGAAATATTTAGGTTTTATCGCGCCGAGGAAATCCTCAGCGCGAGAAGAATATCGTACTCAATCTAACGAATTTTTACGGGACATACGCCCTACGCAAAAGAGTACTTAATTCAACGCGAAAGAAAGAGTATTTTCCGAGGAGAATAGCGCTAAACCAGCGCGAGACTACACAACGCAATAATGTCTTGACGGATTTACAGACTAACGCGAAATAAACTAAATCTAACGCAAGAGATGACGAACTTACATACTAACGCGATGTACAACTAAATCTACGCAGGGGAAAATATCTACACGAGGAAAACGCGAAGTTGACCGCAAGCACACGAGATTACTGAAACGGCGTAACGCGAAGGAATCATTTTCGACGAATGAACTACGATCACGAGAGTCGCGCGTGACGCACAGCCGGGTAATACGCGATCGCAACCACAGATACCGTAAGAATGTTCGCGAATTACCGAATCGAGATATCTATCGCGATCTCCAGGACTTTCACGCGATGAGTACTATTCACCGGCCACGAGACCATTCCAAAGCCCTTCGCTCTCGCTCTCGATCGCAGATGCAAAATTACGAGATCTTACTTACGCAAGTACTTTAGGCGAGAGCGTGGCCCGGAGGGCGGTGTCGTGGCTTACATTACTACCGTCTATTACGAGGCAACCTCACCGGTAAGATACTTCCTCGGTCGGGGTTGTCCTCTCTGCCGTCACCAAAAACCGTCGCGAGAGAATCAGGCACCAAGTGCGCAGCAAGAGTCGGTCGAGAAGCGCTCAAGAAAGCCGTGCGTGTCGTCCCGAGGGTGGCTCAAGAATGATCGCGGAAGTGCGCTCGATAGAGGCGTCGATCTAACGCCCCTAGTGGGACATGCGCGACCCTTCCGCGCGATAAGCGGACCAATTGGCGATGAGCTCGCAAGCTCGCGCGGTAGCCGCTAGCAGGGTTATCGACCGTGGATTCGGCGGGGCGTTCGAACGTGCCCTTCGCGCTCGCGGGGTCCTTCCAGGTTTCCCCGTTGTAGTAGGCAAGGCGATGACTCCCGCGGTGTCCTCTGGCTTGACTCGGGGGCGGTGGCCATCCACCCCCAGAGTCCGTCTGGCCTCGGAGGACTGCAGACAGGCCCGGCGCCGGGCCCCTGCGATGCACAGGTTCGCCTGCCGTTGCTGGCGCGCAGCGCGCGCATCTCACGTCGTCCCTCGCTTAGTAGCGGTCCTCGTAACTCGGGCTCCTCGCCCTCGACATCTCGCTTTCGGTCCTTGTGATTCCGTTTATCATCCGGCTCTCCTGGTACTCCTCGTCATCTTCAGTGTGGCGTTGGAACTCCAACTCGACGGGGTGAGGCGCCACGCAATATCGCAAGAAAAAAAAAACAATAATGAATATTTGAATCGCAACTTTAATACGCCCCTGGAGATCGAAGGTTGATTCGTGAGCCGTCCTCGGGCGCGCAATCCGCGCCTTGTGACGGCGGCGGAGCGCTGCCACGCCGCGGCGAAACCGCAACGTCACAATGCATATACATATTTCGTTATACTGCTTTTTGTACTTAAACGTTTATGTAAAAAATCTTTAAAAAATATTTTTATCTAGTAGTAAGTAGGTCACAAATTATATACACATCACAATTTAACATAAATATAACTAAGAATAATATCTTAATTAAAGATGTGAATAATAAAATGAAAGAACTAAGCAAATTGTTATTTTATAATAAAATAAACATTTACGGACTATAATATAGACATAATTGCACTCTTCTAAGATAATCAGTTAGATTCAACTGCACATCAGATTCATAGCGCGATATAAATGGCCCCAATTGGTGTAATTATTGTTGTCTCGTCACACCCTTCGACATTTAATTGCATATCATCACATTTCAGCCATCGTCCTGAAGGTTTTCGACAGTAGCCAATAAAGTGACCAGGAATGTGTTCGATGACACCTATCAAGCTGAAAACAATACAGTTTTTTATGTTTAATAAGTAAATAAAACAATACATAATAAGCGATATCTATATGTATATTACTAAACATACCGGTACTGTTTTATAAAATTCAGTGTAATTGGAACATCTGCTAACTGGTATTTGAGACCATGTGTTTTCTTACGATGTGTCCTCGTATCCAAATCAATAAAGATGTGGAAATTTGAACGAGTCGTTTCAGTAACTGTTCCTGGGCATTTTTTTTTGTCGGCACTTACCCTGGTAATCATTTTTATTGAATAAGACAGCATCTTGCAATGCTTGAATACCTTTGGTATTTATCATTTTGATATTTACTTCAAAGTATGCAACATCCATTGGTAATGGCGATACACATTCCGGATTATTACATTCAGACGATCTAATTGCACTTGGCTCAGTCGGTTCGAAACAACAAAAGAGATTCTTCCATATCTGAGTAATCGAGTCTTCTGCAATCAACTTGTGCGGTTTGATAGATGGAGCTTCAGGATCTTTTACAATCGG